GGGACGTTCTAGTATCGCATATACGCAGTGTCGCAGCACTTGACTCTTGAATAATCGCGCTCTTGTAGGCGTAAACGAATTGGTTGGATCGCACATACATCAGCAAAAAATTTGAACTCCAATCGGATAATACGTTAACCAGGAGCAATTTTGGGTGTCGCTGTTACATGTTGCCATCCAAGGAAAACATTCAAATCAAATAAATCCATGGCCTGTGGATGACATTTTATATTTTTATATATATAGCAAAAATAATAACATTTCACTTATTTCTATTATTCTGATAAGACATTCAGGGTTGCATGCGCATTATAATTCGGTTAAAAAAAGCACGTGATATTAGTTAGAAAGGCAAAGTGCGTGAATTTATTTATTTATTTATCTTTCTTTTCATCAATTTTTGATTTTTTTGTTCTCAAAGTTTTCCTTTGTTTTAATTTTTTTCTACATTTCTTCTTTGTTTCCCCATGTAAATAATCTTTCAGCAAAAGTTATAAAAAAGTTGAGCCATTATCAGCATTATAAGGGGTGTCTAGATCTAAGAAGCTATCTGCTACAAGTTTCAATTTTTTCTATTACCCTGGTAAGATTTCACAACCGGTCTCTTGCTTCGGAAAGTTGAAGATATATAACAACACACAATAGGGCTTATATTTAAGAGTGATGTATAGGAAAGCAAGTATTTCTTTAGTAAAAGCGTCGGTAATTTGAATCTATCCCGACCTAAGAATGAAGAAAATGTTCAATTTATGTTTAACCCATCCACTGTCAACTTGGAGATGTCTCGTAGTTTGCGTTACAAACGATTACAATTGATCTGCGAATATGTTTGTTACTTAAAATAATAAAGTCTTGGCAACCAGGATAAGACGCTCTAAATTTGTCTAACATTGAATGGATTAAGTTACGGTAAATAACTCTTTTAGTCTAACGGGTCCCGGCCATCCTTTTTATGAAAACTGTCATAAATGATCCTCGTAAGATCCGTCAACTATAATTCTTATTATATGGTATTTCTAATATTTCGACTTCTGTCTTATTATACCCAATTTCCACTTTTGTTGTCTTATATTTTAGGTTCAATTTTTTTTTCTCTAAGATGAAAAGAATTATAAAACCAACAGGAATGTGCAAATCAGTAAATTAGTTCGGTGTTATTATATTAATCTATGCCGATATTTTAAGTCAATAGCAAAAACAAAAAAAATTTTCGCTACAGTTCCATTTTATTTTTGCTAAAAATAAAATTCAACGTTTTATTTTTCTTAAGAATTTAAAAACAGAAAATTAAAGAATATATCTCGTGACAAATTTTTTCACTGCCTACTTTATATCTACGTACGCCTTTTATAACTGATTTCTAATTATGTGACAACGAATAGAAAAAAAAAAATAAATAAAACAAAACGAACAATAATAACAACTAGCATAGCATGATGTAGAAATTAATTTATTTCATTTCAACAACAATAGAACGACAACATCGAAGCCAAGAATCCAAAAAAATTAACAAAATTGAATTGAAAATGTTGCAATACTTCGCAACAAAGGGCGAATTTGTTTATTTTTTGGCTGAACTGGCAGAAAATTACGATATCAGCTGCAGAAAGAATTAAAAAACGAATGGGCCTACTTATGCAAAAAAAGAAGGAATAAAAAATAAATAAAAATTATAAAGAAACTCATATAAAAGCAACAACATTCTTAGTGTCATGATATTTCAAATAATGCATTAAAGAAAAAAGTAGACAACATTTAATTTGCTAAATAGCAAAACAACTACAGAAAATAGTAACAATACCAACAAAAAAAAACATCAACGAATATTAAGTTGAACAAAACGTTTTATACGAAAGATAGCTACAGCAGCAATAAAGGTTAAACAATGCTTAAGAAACAAAGTAAAAGAAAAAATTTTCGGATTAGAACGAATCATTTTTTACCCATCATCAGCGAATGATGGTGACATGTGCCAAAAGAATTCGTAATTCCCAAAATTAATAATAATTACATTTCATATATATCAAATTATAGACCCGTAGTATACGATGATATTAAGAAAAAAAAAAAAAACAACTAACAAAAACTATGGTAGGCAATACTAATTCACTTCGTTATATCTTTATGCTTTTTAGCCATTCGAAGTATAAATCTTAAATCGGATTTTTTTGGTAAATAAACTGACTGCTACCATAATACTGTTTACAAGCTGAAGAATGACACCAGAATAGGACATGAATGGACTTGTTTTTTTCTTTTTTAATTCGATTTCAAAAAGGAAATCATAGACGTACACATGAGTACTCCAAGATAAAAATGAATATTTCAAATTCAATATTGTAGTTAGTTCGGCCCGTACCTTTCTAAATTATGATTTAAGCATATATTTTCCGTTACTCTAGTCTTAGATAGGCGGTTTTATAAACAGATGTGTGTAAAAAGCTTAAATGCTTTGTTAATCTCTATCATATATAATAATTGCGTATATTGTGTCACATGTATGAGCAGTCTTAAGGCTAAAAAAATACCTTGCGAAAAACCTCACGCCAATTAAAGCTTTCACGTACTTAACGGTGAAATAAATAAAAAAAGATTCTTTTGGACGATGTCACACTCATTAATAGGAAATATTATAGACGAGCTAACTACACAAGCAGACACTTTTTCAGATTTTAACATTAACATTACACGATCCTTTAGGCAATTTTTTTTCTAAACGTATCCATATACAATAAATAATTTAACATAAGTCCCTCTTTTAGCTAAGGCAGCGATAATAAGTACGATGACGAAAATTGAATACAAAAGATAAAAAGAGCACAATAACACTGAAAACATTACAAATGAAAATGGGCACAAAACTTTGTTGGCAATAAAATTGCACTGGAAGTCGCTCATTTAGCCACGCACTCACTGAGTGCTATTGTCGAATAGGTATTTATACTTTATAAGAAAAAAAAAGTATTCTTAACAGACAATAATCCCAACTAGAAAGTTAACAAGTTAGTGGACACCCATACAACAACTAACAGTAGTTAAATGTTACTTCACAGTGTAACGTATAACTACAGCTCATCTCTGAGGCGTTCAACAAACCTCTTAGCAAATTCTAAAGGGTCACAAAGTGAATACAGTAGAAAAAGGAAAACAACAAATAACAAGCACTCTAGAGTATTGCAACTAACCAACCGACAATTCTATGCATAAATATTTAATTAACTGCACCATTATTTTAATTAGGTTTTAACTGCACTGCTACAGTATGTTGACAAGAAAAAAAATACAAAACTAAAATAACAAAAAAAAAAAAAATTTACCATTAAACATAACATATACAAATACACACACGAACAGTGACAGAGAGAAAGAGAGAGGGAGAGGGAGAGATGAAGACACAGACAATAAGCATTTACAAGTATTTAACTTAAGAATATATATCTATTTATGATTATAATTTTTCGTAATCTCAAATATCAAGCGACACCTAAAATAGAAACGAATTATTTTTATAAATTTTGTGAACACTTTTCAGGACGAACAAAGGGCTAAGAGATAACCAGGGCTTCGTTACACTTTAATTACTAATTGGCCATGATCTGAAGCTGTACTTTCGTTACAAAACAAAAAAAAACATTTCAAAGGAACCAACATCAACAGTAACAATAGTAACAACAAAAACAACAGAAAAAATTCACTTAATTCGAAATGAGGACGTCATATAAAACAGTCTGTTTCAAGTTGACTTTTCTATTTAGAGAAAAATGGCTACAAAGATAAGACGTTCGAGCCTGTATACAGACACCCACAGGTACACAGACGTATAGGCGTCTGTACAAAAAAAATGTTGGGCATTGTTTTCTTTCTCGTAAAATTGACAAAATATCTGTTTGAAAAATGGCGTCACTCACGACGAATTCAATCGTGTACGTGTGTGTGTGTTTATCGTAGATGTTGGAACTGTGCCCCACTTTTCAACAATGCAGTAAACTAGCAACCATAATCGTTACATACATACATACATACACACGTAAATACATATATACACACATATATACACACATACATACACGCATAGATATATAGGTAGATACATATCACGCAGCACTCACTACCCTTTATAATATTATAAGCCAAGCATGTAATTTTTTTTATATTTTACTTTGTTTCTTACTGATGTGTTCAACAGCAAGCAACAATACTAATAAACTTCTGTACTTGTGTGATTTTTGTTTTTTTTTATTTTACCTTTTTTTTCATTTTTTTTTTTTTTATATTGTCTGTAAGACCTAAACAAGATTTTTTCGATCCGTTGACCTCAATACGAAAATAGCACTACGCAGCAGCATACAGTAGCCGTTACAACACTTGCATTATATGGTATACATTAAACAAGCTTGTATTTACTTACTCACTTACTTATTTACTTACTCGCTTACTTACTTAGTTATTGATAAAAACACTAGAAGAGAAAAGCAAAAGCGCAAACATTTACAATAAAAGCAAATGATCCTGCTTTACAACCACGCAACGGAGGAAAAGATAGAGAAAAAAGAGAAGCAGAGAAATATAGATCTTTACAATATATATATTTTATTGCTGTTGTCATTCACACGCTTACTCTCTTCCCAGGGCGTAAGCGTTTCTCTCTTTCACACTTATATTATGCCTTATCACTTGCAATGGTTGACCTAATTTCTAGATGAATGATCGTATTGCATGTATAAGTGCGTCTTTGTAATGTATCATTAACTTTACAATACTACAATAATAATCACAGGCTACACCATCGTCTATACTTAAATTTAAGTATAGAGGCAAAAAAAGTTTTGTTTTCTTTATAATTTCCTTCTGCAAAATTTTTATAACTGCGTATAAGTGTTAGTGATTTCCTGGCCCTGAGTTATTTTTAAAAGTATATATATATATATATATTTTGCTTTTTTATCATGTTTTCTCATATGTTTCATATATATTTCGTTTTTCTTGCTCTTATTTTACAGAGTACACCCTGCAAACATCCAGTCATTTTATTGCAAGATGTTAATTTTCATGATTTACATTCATTGGTTGAGTTTATCTATCATGGCGAAGTTAATGTACATCAAAAATCATTGCAATCATTTTTAAAAACAGCCGAAGTCTTAAGAGTTTCTGGGCTAACACAACAACAAGCAGAAGAAACTCATCACGTAAGTGTGTGAAAGAAACAATTCAAATACTTTTGAAGAAAAGACTTTTGAAAAAAAAAAGACTTTTAGAAAATTATTTTTCGTATTTGTCGTCGTTGTCGTTGTCATATTCTTTAATATTTTCAATTTTAGCAATTAGCTCAAATACAAAATTTGGCCAGTAGCGGCATACGAACACCTTTAAATTCACATCATTCAGCAATGCATGATGAATCGCCACTTTATACGCGTAGTGCAGGTTCACCACCACCACCGCCCACACAATTGCCATTAGCTTCAACGCATATTAACAGTCAATTGTTTAAGCGTAGCATAGCTGCTGCTGCAATGTTGAGACGTGAACGCAATAGTTCTACACCTTCAGCTGAAGATCCCAATAATCCGCTGAAACGCATGCGTAATTCAGATAACGGTCTACCAGCCAGCAACCACAATAGTCCGGACATGCTTCATGCACGCAGCACTTCGCCACAGTTAACGCCAACCGATTTTTCTACAATGAAAAATAACAACAACAATTCACCACCACCCAAAGAGGAGAAACGTAAGTTTTCATATACACGAAAAGCGATCTAAACACTATACAAAAAAAAAATAAACAAGTGAAGGTCTTTGTCGGCTTCCATATTTTCATTTTTTTCGTAAAAATCCATATATCGAGACCTTAATCTTTTTCTAAAAAGCCATCCTAAAACAATATCTTATTACGAATACAGGGTCTGACTATTCAAAATATTTGCTGTTGCTTCGTGAAAAGACATTTAATTGTTTTTCTTATGTTTTGTTTGCATTTTTTTCCTTTTTAATAAATAAGGCAATGGACCCAGTGGTAATAGCAGTGGCACACCTAACGGTAATGGTTCTGGTAATTCAGCGAACGGCAATGGCATTACGGCAAACGATAAATGTGGAAGTCTTACGTCGTCACCGTTAACACGTTCAGCGGATGACGTTAAATCGGAACCCATGGAATTAGTTTGCACTAATAATAATGCTGCCGATGAACACAGCAATGATTCGAACGGTGAACACGAAATACATGGACGCGCTAGCAGCGGTGAATGCGGTAAAGGATCATTAAGGTATTATAATGTGTGATCATAATATGCTTGGGCCTTTTATTAATTGAAAAAAAAATAACAAAAAAAAAAAAAACAATTTCTAAAAAAAAAAATAGTTCAGGGAACGATGAAGAAATTGAAAATACTATGCCGCCGCATCCACCATCAGCACCATTTCTTATCTCACCAGCTGAATCTAAGTTATTTCCATCCACGCCATTCACATTTCCCATGAGTAATTTAGATCCAGCAGCATTTGCCAGTAAGTATATAAAAGGGATTACGTTCCCATGGATAAAAGACTTGCAAATTTAACTCGACATATATGTCATCAAGTCGGTATTTTTGTTATTTAATCTATAATATAGAAAAAGCGATAATAGAAAGCAAAGAAAAACGTTTTGTTTCTAAGGTACAATTTATAATATTTACTTTCATAGGCAATAACGTTTTTTCTTTTATAATTAAAAGGTAGAACATTAGAATATCTATCTATACATGACTTGATTATTTATATAGAAATTTAACATAACATTAATTGCATTCTATGCAGTCTATGCAGCAACACGTTGCAAACAGATTTCATTTAAATAATGATGTTGTTAATGTTTATGTTAAGTTTTTATAAAAAAAGAATTTATGCGCCGCTGATTATTAAACCAGAGTTTCGCTAGAGAGGTGATATATTAATTTTTCTCTCTTTGTCTTTGTTTCTCTTTCACACTTTATGCTCTTCGCTTTTTGTGAAAGGTTTAAATCCTCAATTACAATCTGCCGCCGAATTAGCTGCTTCTCCTCAAGGTGAGTACTGAATTTTTCCATATTTCATTTGTTATTTGCTTAGAATTCATTTACATCAAAGCGTTTTTATTTTTCTTTTTTTTAAATATATATGAAGAAATACATATATACTATTTTTGAAAATATACTTATGATATATTCTTTATTTAACTTTTGGTTTATATATTACTTTTTTTATACAATTAGTTAACTCTCGTTTGTTTGTTTTTTTTTTTTTTTTTTTTTTTTTTTATCAATCAAAAAGAAAAAATAATAATAATAATACAAAAAAAAGGAACTACAATGAAAGTCCAAACTCATTTACTTTCTCTACGAATTCATATAACTTAATATAAAATAGAAAATCAAGATAACGCAAATTATATGGGAAACATTTGAAATATTTGTGTGAACAAAGGTAAAGAGTGAATGAGAATGATTGAGGGGATGCCAAGAAGCTTTCTAATTTGCTGCTTAAACATATCTTAAACATACATCTCGTTAACTGAAAATATTTCTCTTTCGCCATTTATGTGTCTCTCGCTCCTTTCCATGACAACTCCGCTCTCGCACTCCTTCACTCTTAAGCTGGCGTTTAACCGTTTTTTTTGATTAGTTTGCGTTAAATTGCGTTTTCTTCGCTTTTAATCAAAGAGCATACATTATATTAAAAACAACAACAACAAAAACAAAAAAAAAACAACAACAACAAAAAAAGGAAATTTCTTTCTTGTTTGATTGTTCCAAATGATAAATGATATCATTTATTTCCGTCTATCAAAGACGGCGACCACGATAATAATAATAATAATTATTGCAATGAAAACTAAAGTTATTACACATTTTTTTTCTCCATCTACGTTTATTTTATTAATTTTTACCAATGAATGTATGTGTGTATGTATATACGTATGTAAGCAAATACAGTAACAATTATATATGTAAATATATCAGAAATTGTTAATTAGCATAAAAACCACATAATGTTGTTTAGATGCTCCACGGTAATGTTTAAAGAAAACTTTTACCAAAACTATGGTTGTTGCGTACAACCGCAACAATTACTCTTTCTTCTCGTCTCTCTCTCTCTCTCTCTCTCTCTCTCTCTCTCTCTCTCTCTACATAAATCTACGTTAAAACTTCTAAGTGCTTAATTAGCATCGACAATAACAATCAAGCTTACGTATATACGCAACTCATCTAATTTATAAGGTCACACACATATACATATATTAGAATACGTACGCGTATATGGATTATTATGATTCGCATTAGGATCCAATATCCTACGCACCACATATTATTCGTTACGTATATGCCGGAAGAGTGATAAGATTGCATACGTCCGTTTATATACGTTTACATACTTTAGTTTTCATTGCAGGCTTTGACATTTTCTATCATATATCTATATGTGTAGATATTTTTTTTTTTTTTTTTTTCGTTTTTTCTTGGTTTTTTTTTCGGTATAAGCGAAAGAAAGTTGAGGCGTTCTTCTAAAGGCCGTTTGTTTTGGGTTTCGTTAAAAGGAAAAAAAAGAAAAAGAGGGGTAATAAAAGGGAAATGTTTACTGTCTGTTAAACTCTCTCTTTCTCGCTCTGTGTTAAAGCTGCAGCGATGTGGTAAAAGTGCAAGATTTGACATAAATAACTATGATAGAATATATATTTTCCCGAAAATATTTGATTTGGTTTTGTGTGCTAATTTTGTATTCGTATGTTTATTATACTGAAAAACGATATTTATTGCCTATGATATTACTTTTCATTCACGTACATAATTAAAAAAAAAAAATGAGAAAAGTTTTTTTTTTAGTTCGATGCTATAATTTCATACTTTTTTGTCTTCATTTATGGCTATTGTTTAGTAACTCTCAAATAAAAATAAAATTGGAATTTTTGAATAATTAATTTTATTTGAAATATAATTCGTCTTTATTTATTTAATGTTTTTTTTTTTTCTTTAATCCTTTTTCTATAAAATAATTAAAATAATCCATAATGAACGTGTCGCCGTCGTTATATGTGTGTAATTATTATTACCATAATTAACATTAGTTTTTAAAGTAAATGTTCTTCTCAGTTTTGTTTTTCTCACCATTTGTACGTTTTATCCATAAAAAGCGCGTAAAAGCACGTTAAACTTTTTTTTTTTTTTTGATTTTAATAATTCATTGTTTTAATATCTCACCCAATATCATCTATTTGTTGCGTTGCTTTATATATACACAGATATGTACGTATATATATTTTTTTTGTGATTTTAATTTCAAAAAAGAGCAAACCAAAAAATCAAGTAAAAGAAAAACTAAAAAAAGAAAGAAAACACACGAAATGCAAATATTATGTTTATCGCAATCCCTTGAAATGATTAAATAATTTGATCGATCGAAACCTTTTTCTTTTCACTCACTCTCTCTCCGTCGCTCGGTTAGTAGGCTCTTATTGTATCACTACGAATACAAGTGTGTGCACCACCATGATAATAAATGAAACAAAAAAAAAAAAAAAAAAATTTATTTAGGTTCGACAACTTTTACAACTACTTTCAGAAAAATAAACAGAAATTGGCTAATTTACCGTTATATCCCATTCTTACTTACTAAAAATAAAAAAACCACATTACGAACAGTTATAATTTGTAATTAACCAATTGAACAGAACACATGTCCACACATTTCAAACACAGCCGCAGCTACATTTACACAAACACAAGCACCATCTGCATATGCATTAAATATGATCAACCAGCAGTAAAATAACTCTTTACTGCTATCTGTTATCACAATTACCCTTCTCAGTAAATAAAACCTTACTCGTTATCACTCTCTCTCTCTCTCTCTCTCTCTCTCTCTCTCTCTCTCTCTCTCTCTCTCTATCTATCTATCTATCTATCTATCTATCTATCTATCTATCTATCTATCTATCTATTTATCTATCTATCTCTCTCTCTCTCTCTCTCTTTACCTATCTATCTATCTATCTATCTATCTATCTATCTATCTATCTATCTACCTAGCTATCTATCTATCTATCTCTATATCGCTCCATGGTTCTCACCTTTCTATCTTACTCTTCCTCTTGGCATTTCTTGTCAAAGGATATTTGTTATTGTATTTGAAAATACAATACATGCATTCTTCAATATTCTCACTAATCTCTCTCTCTTTTTGTCTTTATCTTTTTGCGACTCTTTCTGTCTATGTCTCTATGTGTTTACATCTTTCTCTTTACTTAACTCATTGGTTTCTTCTTTCTAATTTTCCTTTTTAACGCAACTAATTGACTATTACTTTACTTAATTGCAATTTACCATAATTAAATATTTTAATTTTAATTAATAATAATTATGTTTCTTCCCTTCCTCTGTCGTTTTGTATGAGTGTTAAAAATAACAAAAACAACAACATTGTTTTAAATACTGTTTCTTTTTTTTTTTTTCTTAGCATTAAGTAAAACAAAATTTCATTTGAGAAAATTAATTCGCAAAAACAATTGTAAAAAAAAATTTACGTCAAATTTATTTTAAGTTACACTATAAGCAAACAAAATCAATTGGTATTGTTATCTAAACCATCAATAGCAACAACAACAACAACAACAACAACAGCAATCAATCAAACAACACCCACACATGAAATCCTTTAAAATTTGCATGCGGTTACTGATAACTGATAACAAAATTCAGAAAAAAAAAAACAAAAACAAAAAGTAATTGTAAAAGTTTCAGCGTTACAAACTGTTGCAAATTAAGACCAAAAACACAAATTGGTAAAAGGGTTAAAAAAAATGAAAAAAACAATAACAACAATAAGAACAAAGCAAAAAAAAGAAAAAACGGCAAACATTTAATTTAATGGCTGCTTTAACGCTACTTGTAGACGAATGAAGTGAAATTGAAAGAAAATTTTGATTTGAATTTATGAAAATGTCGAAACCTTTGAGAAAAAAGTTTGGAAACGTTTTTTTTCGCTTTCCGTTTTCGTTACAGTAAATTGTTTATTATTATACGATTAATTTGTGTTTATTGTTGTAATTTTGTTTTTTAATGTTGTGCAGAACCATCCGAACACATTTTTTTTTTTTATTTATTTATTTACTTTTCTTTTCTTTTCTTTTATAACCTAAGTTATATGCATATGTATAGTTTAGTTGTGAAATCACATTTTTAATATAAGGCTTAAAAACAAGAACAACAATGCGTTCAACATTACACAAAACACCAAATTATGGTAATAACAAAAACAAAAGTAAAAATAAAAATCTTGGTTGTAGGACAAAGCAAAAATTTATCACAAATAAAAAAGAGAAAAAATCCTAAAATTTTCCCTATCCTCCACCGACCTACCTTACCCCATTAAACGATCATTTGGGAAGCAAAGGAGGAACCAAATCCAATCACAAACTAACGATTAACACATTGAACACGAAAACAAACAATTACCTGAATCATAAGAATGCGTTAACAACTTCACGTATACACTCGAGCGTATAAAGCAATCGGTCAATATATGGCAACTATTGAAAATCAAAATTTTGAGCATGTCGTTTAACAAAATCAAAAGAAAAAAAAGCTAGAAAATTTATTAAATACTAAAACAATTTTTAAATTGTGCCTTCTACAACCCCCCCCCCCCCCCCCTACCAACCCTATCCCGGCGCACTTCCGGCTATTCCTGACAATCTGTCAAATTATTTCTCTAACTCTCTCTATTTCTCTCTCTATGTCTCTACCGCCTATGCCTTCTTCCGCACCGGTTTTCTTCATTTGATACACAAACTACCATATAAAGGTCGTACGATAACTTGTACCCGAACTGATTTGGCCAATGTTCCCCAACCACCACAGTAAATGTTTTTTGTATCTCTTCTTTATTTCACTCTCTCTCTCTCTCTCTCTCGCTCTCTCATTCTCTCTTTCTATCTACCTATCTCTCTCTATTTCTGTGTCTCCCTAAATACGAAGTTTTCAAGCAACACGTATGTAATATATATACGTATGCAACTTTTGATGCAAACATCAATACCCGAAATTAGTTGGTAGTGAACAAAAAATTCCAAACACAACAGAGAAACACTTTTACACTGAAGCAATATGTATATATATATATATATAAAACATATATATATGTATATATATGTATATAGATACATATATGTATATATATACATATATGTATATATATATATATATATACGTATATATACACGTATGTAGTAAAATGGTGATGGTGTTCAACAACACACACAAGTTATACAGTCAACCACCACACACAGTAAATCAATACAAAATTAAGACTAAAGGTCGAAAATACGTGAGAGGAGAATATGCCTCAACTCGGAATAAAACGGAAAATTGGAAATATAAAATCCTTTAGCCAATCTAAATTTCATTCTACTTCTTTAAGGACGTCCTCAACAAAGAAGCTTCAAAAGAAAGAAAAAAAAGATAAAAAAAGAAAGAAAAAATATTTCACAAGACAGCAATTTCTTAACCATATCTACAAAAATCAAAAACCTAACTCGCTTCCTTCCACCCAACTGCTCACTGCGTTAGTGTTATAGGCTTATGCTTAGCAAACAATCAAAAAAGAAATAAATTTAACAAAGTTGAAGAAAAATGAGGATTGACGATATAATTAAAATATAATTAAACCCAAAGTTAAATTTAGAATCAGCGCAAACTAAAAATAGCAAAAACTATCAAATTTTTTGTAGAATATTCACATGTTTGTTGATTTTTTTACTTGCAATTTATCAAAAAAAATTAAAAAAAAAGCTAAACTTTTCAAATTCCCAAAAAACTCAAATACAATTTTCCATGGGCTAATACGACGTTTTTTGCAATTCTCTCCCTTGTCGTCAGGTCAACTGACGACAATGTCTGCGTTAAACAACCTGAACAACAACAATCAACATTACTATCATCATCACAATCATCATCCTCCCAACAACAATAAATATTTTACAAATGAATATAACAACAACAACAATAACAACAACAAATGTCCAACAACAATGTCATCATCAGCTATGACAAGCACTTCAGCGATGTGTGGTCTTAATTTGTCACCGTTTTCGGCAAATTGCAATACTAGCAGCGGTGGTGGCCTGCCCGGCGTTTCAACTCTAAATAATCAAATTTTACCAACTAGCCTTATGCAGACAAATAACAGCCAAACGGCACAAAATAACAGCTGTAGTGGTGGCGGTGGTAACAATAATAGTAGCGGTAGCGGCGGCGGTAATGGCAGTAGCAGCATTAATAACGCCACTGCAGCCCAACAAACTCACATGCTGGCAGCCGCTGCAGCAGCCATGGCTAATATGGCAGCCTCATCTAGCGGGTCCAGTAACACACTGAATGCCTTAAACTCGTCCAATAACAGTCTGAATACGTCGAATAGTGGCGGTGATGACTTTCGCTGTGATCCCTGCAACAAAAACCTATCCTCATTGACTCGCCTTAAACGACACATACAAAATGTACATATGCGACCGACAAAAGAGCCCGTATGCAATATATGTAAACGTGTATATAGCTCCCTAAACAGTTTACGCAATCACAAGAGCATCTACCATCGCAATTTAAAACAGCCCAAGCAGGAATCCACTGCCGAAATGGGCCATCATTCGGGCAATTTGGGCGTTACCGTTAGTAATCCTTATTATACACCCATCAATCATCGCTCCTCCTCATAGGGTTTAATGTATTTCGATTATTTAGCTAACGTTAATTTTTAACATAGAGGATTCAAAATTAAACCAAGAGTGCTTAACGATTACTAAAAAGCAAACCTCTGAAGTATAAAGAAAGGTGCTTTAAGATGATAAATAAAAGTATATATATATATATATATATGTATATATATAAAAGTATATATATATATATATATATATATATATATATATATGTATATGTTTAAAAAGTATATATATATATGTGTACATATATATATATATACATATCATATATATATCATATATACATATAATCACAGCAACAATAACTACACACAAGTTATTGTCATTTTTCCCTTTTTTTTTTATTAGTGTACTAATAAACATAGATTGTAAGGATTATATAAAATAGTTATATAATTTTTCATTGTTTTTTTTTCATTTTCCATTTTCTTTGTATAAATTCAGGATACATAGTTTATACATTTACATAAATATTTTATAATATATTTTAACTTTAACTTTTATGTTTCCTTTTTCTTTTCTTTTAATTTTTTTTTTTTTTTTTTTTACATTTAAAGAGAAAACTCTCAAAATCCTTCGATTGCAACTCTGTCCACTCGGAAGTATGAGAGTTTTCTTTTAAAGAGTTCAATTCAAAGTGGCTTTAATACGCTAGGAGAGAAATTTAAGAAACTGATATATAGATGAAAACGAGAGAAGTTTTGTTTACAAAAGCTTACTGAAGATCATAATTACCTATAAAGAGTGTAGAGTTACGAAATGTTTTAAGAAATCTATATAATGTTATCTTATTGTTAGGTTACGTACGTTTAAGGTTAAGTTTATAAAAAACAAAACAAAACGTTAAAGCAAAAAGGAAAAATATACGAATTGCAACCGAAAGAATCAATCAATAAAACGATCGCTCACGAGGCCGAAAAATTGATCGATCGACTGACCGACCGACCGACCAATCAGCAAAATCATTTATAAAAACAATAACTGTTATCTTATTTTTTGTAAATAATATTTTTACTTTTAATTAAAATAAATACTAATTACAATGATATTTTTTTTTTTTTTTTTTTTAAATGAACCAACCTAAAACGCAAAACGTTATGTCGAGATACTTTTAACATTTAATTGTGTTCGTTTATGTTAATACACAAGGAGATAGTGTTAGCCCGAGAACAACGTCTATTTGTAATGAAGCTTTTTAAGCATTAAATAAATAGAGTAGCTAATGAATTTGTAAATTCTGTAAGAAAAAAAAAGAATTTTTTTCGCTTATGAATTTTTGTTTCTTTTTGTTTTACGTAAAGTCCATATTTCAACTATTTAGATTATAATTTTTTTTGCTTATATTTCTCTCGCTGTCTGTCCGTCTCTCCCCTTCTCTATCTATCTGTTTATTTCTCTTTATATACATAAATTTATTCCTTTTGTTCTCTCTCTCTTGCTCTCTTGCGTTCTCTCTCTCTCTCTCTCTCTGTCCATCTACCTCTCTCCCCCCCCCCCTCTCTCTCTCTCTCTCTCTATCTCTGTGTTTCTCTTTCTCTCTCACTCTCACTCTCTCTCTCTCTCTCTCTCTCTCTTTGTCTCTCTTTATTTGACGTAAAAAATATCTCTGCTATTATCACAAGTCAAGCGAGTTTAGTTCAAGCACTTATCATAAATATCGTAGTCTTAGATCATTATAATCGAACACTAAAACAAGAAAGTGTATAATAACATAAATATGTTTTTGTCTTGTGCAATAAATAATTGAATATCCTGAAAATTATCCTTAAGTCCTTAAGTAATTTTGTTCCCGTCTTCCTTATCCACCCCTACGCCACATCAGCGAACGTGTAACCGGTATATCAACGAAACCGAAACGAAATCATTCGTTCGCCACATATTAGGTAAATCGTTTTAAGTCAATTAAAACATAACAAAAAACAAATGCTGTCAGCCGCTATTCAAAGCTCGCTTTTGGATGGTATTCGCCATGGTTAAAAAATTTATTTAAAAAAAAGAGACACTAGTGACAAAAATCAAAAAAAAAAAGAAAAAAAAAATAAATAAATAACAAATCAATCAGGCCAAAAATGTTTCAAAATTGTTTCAAATGTAAATTTCTAGTCCCTCATACAACAAGTAACACATGAGGTGATAACGGGACAATTTTAATTTAACTAAAGAATTTTTCCGTTTGTTTTTATCAAACATGTAGCGGAAAAGATCTTTAAGCTTTTGTGTGTTTATGTATTGTCAAAAAATTCCCTCTTCCCACAAATACAAAAACTAAAAATTAACTGTCGTGTCAACATTCTAAAACCAACCACAAACTATTAATACATATTTTTTGTTCGTTTTATTCATTTTAAATTCAATGAGCGTCCGCTCTGCGACACTTCTTTTGCGCGAAGAGCCTGAAAACATTTCTTTTCTTTCTGGATTTTTGTTTAAATGACTTGCACAGCAAACTATTAAACGCATTATTGAGCCTGGATTTGTTAGCGTATTAAAAAAAATAAATAAATAAATAAATATATAAAAAATAATTTTAAAAAAATATGAAAACAAATAAAATCCATAATTATTTAAACATAAAACACTTTGCAACATAGAAAAACGTACAGTACAGTAAACTATAAAACCAAAAAAAAAAAAAAAAAATTTTAAAAACAATTCAATTCAATGTTCAAATGCTGAAAACACAAAGTCACTATTGTCTCTTTTTTCTTCTCTTCCTATATGTCATATAGGTGGAAGCACTAACCTACTCGGTGGCGTTATAGTACCCGGGGTGAATCCGAATAGTAGTAGCAACCACCATCATTCCACTCATCTTCACCATCATGACCATCATTTGCACCAACAGCCACAACCAAGCACCGAACGCACCGAACACCATCTTCAACAGGAGCAGAGTGGCGAACGCCAACACAGCCAACAAACGGTTGAACAAAAGCAAGCGTTAGGGTCCTTTTCCTCCACTCCCTCACCTCATCATCATCAACAACCCCCACCTCCCCCGCATTCGGCCCAATCACCGCCCATTCACTATACGCATTCGCACTTCGGTCACCAGCAACATCCATTGTCAATGCTGCCTACTCATCATCTTCACTCGCATCATGATCTTTCGCCCAGCGGGCATCACCACCAGCATTTGTCTCGGGCACCTTCGCCCCTTGAACACCATCATCTATTGCAGCATCGACGCTCATCTCTGTCCCCTTCACCCACCGGACGATCTTCGAATTCGACTTCAGCTGCTGGCATTTTATCATCAGCACGCTCTTCTGAATTAAGCGGACCTAACCGTTTATTATTGCCGCTGCCCTTGAATGCTTGCCATCGCTGTGATGTATGCGGTAAACTTTTAAGCACAAAACTGACACTAAAACGTCACAAAGAACAACAGCATCTGCAACCATTAAATAATGCCGTTTGCAATTTATGCCACAAGGTTTTTCGCACCCTTAACAGCCTAAATAATCATAAGAGCATTTATCATCGTCGGCAAAAACATCACTCCTATTTTCATCACAGCAATATAAGTAGCGGCGTTGGAGCACCGTCTAGCGCTGGCAGTCGGTTACACCAATCGCTTAGTTCTCTAAGCGCAGCCGCTGCGGCTAATACAAACGTTAATGCGAACAGCAATGGTAATGCAGTGGCAGCTGCGGCTGCTGCAGCTGCCGCAGCAGCTGAACTTCTCTTATCTGGTCCAACGATGCAGTTAAGCTCACATCCCCAATCCCAGTCATCACCCAATATGGTGAAACCCTGTATGGATTATTTATAAGATCAGCACAATCTATTGCAACAACTCTTCGGTTTTGCCATAAATCCAACAACAACCGTACCAAACTTAAATCATCACCACTCGCCACATACACATCATCCATCATTACCACCTATACCACCAAATGAGGCAATGGCCCCTCTGAACCCGCCGCCAACTGTGGATCTAACACAAATGGATAACTATGTAATGGGAGCTTGCGATGATGAGCCTTCCTATACCAGAATCAATTTAAACGATCATTAAGAAAAGCCACAACAGATTCACACTTACTTGAACGCGAAACTTTTCCCAATTTTTCTCATACCCCCAAACCTTTGTTATTCCCACTCTAACCCACATTTTGGATCTCAAAATCCCACAAAGATTTATTTGATAACTATTTAGGCAAATTCAAAACTGTGATTGTTATAGAAAAACAAAACAAAATAAATATTTTTTTTTTTTCATTTTTAAATCTTAGGCTATTGCCCAATCTATAAACGTACGTGTAAATATTCAAAAAGCAAAGAAAAAGGAGAAAAGCTGGTTTCGGATTTGTAAATGTTTGCAACAAATGATAAGGAACTACTTTTCCTAACTAAATAACGAAATAAGCGAATAAGAAGGAGAAAATGAGGAAAAAAATATCTTTATCTTTAGTTTAGACTTTTAGTTTATTAGACTACGGTATGACTTGTGCAATTTATTTTCTGTTGACAATACTTGTATGCTATTAGAAAAGAAATTTGTAATTGAGAGAAAAAAACGAGAAAGAGAGAAAGAGGAGAGAGAGAAAAGAGAGACAAAGGATGAGATATATTTCTTATTCGACACAAATGTTCTTTAGAACAATAACATGAGAAGCAAAAAAAAAAAAATAAATAAATAGCATAAAACTACACTTTTAAAGGACTTGTTGCGTAAACTTGAACGATTTCAAAAATCACCAAACACATGTAAATTTTACTAAAAATAATCTATATATAAATATACATACGTATTTATAAAATTTACGCAAAACACTATTAATAAAATGAAAACAAGAGGAAATAAATAAATGAAAACAATTATTTAGGTTTAAGTTAATACATAAGAATTTTTATGTTTCATTGTCGCCAGTCAATGTAAATATGTATTTAATACATGAACGAAAGAGATGCGTAAAATCTCTACACAAATACACACATATACATGCACACGTATACACACACACACACACACACAAACACACACACACACACACACACAAACGTTTCCAATAACGACCCTCGCTATCCATACCATCCTCATTCAATCCCGATTGATATATATGTTATAAGATTTTGCGTACACACAAGCGCGCCTCTTATTACGCATCCATATAAATACAGAAGACGTCTAAGAATATATAAAGTAGCTCTGAGTAAAAAAAAAAAATATTAAGTTTAAGAAATTCAAATAATTTGTTTTTCCCCATTTACACCAATCCACTACAAAAGAAAATTAAGCGATGATTGCCAACAGATTAAAAATCTCTGTTAAAAATTGAGTTATATTTTTTGGTGAATTTTACCTCAATCATCTTTAATAGACTATTCCGATTAACTTCTGACAAACCTTGCGAGATCGGAATATCATTTCTTAGTTAATATTATAGCTTACGTATCCGTAACAGTGAAGTAATGTTTGTAGATTAACATTGCAAAGAAGGAGCAAACACAATTTGCATGGATTATATTATCGTCGAAAATTAAGCCTTTTCAAGTCAGACACGTTAATATATATAAAAAAATTATTATATCTACTCTATAGTGCTTTGTCTTTGAGTTGTTTGAAACGCCAGTCAGACAGTCGATAAATTTTATTATTTCACTCATAATATTGGAAAAATTGTAATCAAGCTATACTAAAAAATTCTTGACAATCATGAGCACATAGGATAAATTATAAGATTACTTTAAAGGTACCTTTCTGTCTTTCTATTCCAATACTTTTCTTCGATTCGTAATGGGAATTTTCAAGTTCACCGACTGCGTACAGTGCGCAACTTACAAGCAAACAACTCGTAATTATGATGTTAGTTTAACGCAAATTTGGAAACACTTTAACTTTTCGATATATTCATTAGATTGGATATATTAATAATTCAAATCTGACGAGTTTGTTCAATCAATCGATAAGGATTAGTTTTATATAAAAAATGGGACGAATTTCAACTTAAACTGTAACGTAAAGTCAAGAATCCGAGTTATAAAAATGCGTCTACAGGATTCTGAACAATAATTCTAAATCTGAATCTAAACTGTGCAAAAGATGTAGCTGAAGATTTTTTTAACTAATAAAATTGATGTGCTCGAAAAACCTATGATTTCCATAACAAATCCAATTATGAATATTAACTTTTTCGATCATCTGATTAGTCTTTTTATGCTCTGTGGTTTGTTCTTTCGATTGTTAATTCAATTTTATTTAAAATTTCAATTTATTTTGTTCCCTTTAAATTTAATATCTCAGTTACGCTCATCATCATCGTAGCTTAGTTTTCTTTTGTGTGATTAAGAGAAGCTTTTTCCCCTTTGTTCTTGTTTCATTTTTCTATACATTTTGATATTTGCATTCACTATCATTGATTTCAATATAAAAAAAAAAAAAAAACAAAACAAAACAAACACGAAATCGATTGTGTTAAACACAAGAAAAATATAAAATTCTTTGAAATATTTCGACTGATAGATTTAGGTTAAGCAGAATGGAATCGTAAAAAATTAAAAAAAAAAAAACAGAAATTTAATTTTCTTTATTTTGCAATTTCGAAATATAGCAAAATTTGTGATCGGCAAAAATTGTCTAATTTTTTTTTTTTTTTTTTTGATTAGATATACTTTTAAATTAAGTCATCTATGAAGTTTGGCTTTAGAGGAAAATCAAAGAAAAAATTCAAAATTATTTCGTTTAAAAGACTGAATTTTAGAAGGTTTTTTTCAAAAGAAATCAAATTTCTCTGAACGTATTTTTATGTTTAAAAAATTGATAAAGTTTTATATATATATATATATATATATATATATATAGATATGCGATTTTCAAAATTATACATTTTTTTCTTTAATAGTTGGCACTAAAAAAGTCTGAATATACAAAATAATAAACTTATTTTTTTTTATTATTACAATTATTATTATTTTTATTAATTTGATACCAAAATTTTTTTATACAAATTTTAAATTTTATGATTTATTTTATCTATATATACGAAAAAGGGAAAAAAAATGTATAAACATTGACCAAGTTTGCGGTATGTTCATACATGTACATATATTAATGTTTTATTTAATTTTTTATTAATCAAGTTTAATTTTATAATAAATCATTTATTAATTAAAAACTTTAAGTATTATTTAATTCGAAAAATCGATACTTGTTCATTAAGCTCGTCTTTCCATGGACTCACCCCACCCACCATCCTCCGCCCCACACATCATCTCTCGCAACTAATTTCTTATTATTATTCTTATTGTTTTCTACATATAGGTATACACGCATACATACATGCGCACACGTATACGCACAAGCCCATACACATACACGTACGCACAAACACACATACACAGACACACACATACACATGCATGCATGCATACTCACATATATACATAAATTCATGTATGCAAATACATAAGTACACACACTCCCACAAAAGTTCGTGCGCGTACAGACGCTTCCACGCCGCCGCATACGTATACCAGCACACACACACGCCCACACATGTCCATACCTGGCCATACATAAACATAATCTGCAATTAAGTGCTTTATATATTCATAAGTTTAATTATTATGTTTAATTATTTTATGTAAAGAACTACATTTTTATATATTTTGTTCAACTATATACATATACATATATTATATCGTAATACGCATTTTAATTTTTATTATTATTATTATTATTATTATATATAATGTTTTATTCAAATGAAGAACCGAATGTATATATATATAATATATATATTTGCTCATATCAATCAATCGATCACAGGACGAGGGCAAAAATGTTCCCATTTTCTTTTCTTTTCTTTCAATATTAAAGTTCAACAATACATTTAACAGATAAACACAACGGTGTAGGAAACTTTTATTAATTAATTACATTTTTCTTAATGATAAATAGTAAAGACAACAACCATCTACCAAGAAACAACAACCAAAACTCTCCATAGTACGTTCGTTACGTAAACTAAAAAACAGAAATAAATGCAAAAGAAAATGAAAAAACAAATACAATTACGGAAAACAATATAAAAACAACAAGCAGCATATCTTACTTGGTTTTACTTCTTAAATAAGATATCCTTCCTAATAACATATACATATAAATAAAAAAGCAACAAAAAAAAAATAATAATACTAATAATTACCTATAAAGCAGATCGTAATAGCAATGGTAACAAAAAAAAAGCAAATAGTTTTTTTTTCTCTCTTTTTGTAATAAAAACACTTATTAAAACCATATATGCATACATAGATTTACTTACAACCGTATTGATGTCAGTTTATCTACAAAAATAAACACAAATCTCACATAAAACAATAAACAATATTATTAATTATATGAAAAAGAAAAAAACAAAATAGACAACAAAAAAAAAAAAAGAAGAAAGCAGTAAATTAAAAAAAATAAATAAATTAATAAATAAATACATAAACCAAAAAATGTTTTAACGGAAATTTAAAAGCAGTGAACACAAAACTCATCATCAATAAGTTTCTTTAAAATGAAATAAAACTCAAACTATAACAGCTAAATAATTATGTTGCCAGATGACATGTATGTATGTATTTATTATGTATGTATGTATTTATTTATGTACTCGCATATAATTATATATATAAAACAAAATCTCGCACATACATAACATAAAATTATTAAAACAGCAGACATCAAAAGCAAACATCACCGCCATTAACAAAATGCATAGTAAGAGGAGTCCCACAGCAACAGTTTAACTTAAAAAAAAAAGAGTTTGGTTGATGAGGAAGAAGATTACTTTAGAGATAAAATTGTAAAGAAAATTATATAAAGATTCTCTCTATAACCCTTTCCTAAGCTTATTAATCGGCATATATCGCTTAACCTTCGAGACCTTAGTTGCGTACTCGCTTACAAAAATTCTTATCACAATTCTTAATAAAAGTTTAAGTGTAACTTTAAAGAATATCCGTTTTCCCAATAGCTTTTATAAGCTAATCTAAAAATGTTTTTGCTTTTTTTTTTTAATTTTTAAACAAAACAAAACTGATACCTTAACTGCTCTTAAGACTGCCTTCATGGTTGTCCGTTTTTAACAAAATTTTACATTTCTGTAATAGATATCAAAAGGAATGCAATCGAGTGGAATTGAAATTATTAATAATCCTAACTAATATTGTTGGCTTTTTCCGCACAAAAATCCGTCTTTTCGTTTAAATAACTTTTTTTTATCAAAAGCATTACGTTTCCTTCCAGTACTGTGTAATGTGTTTAGTCATCCTATCCAAATCTCAAGCAAAAATAACTGAATTCTCATAACGTATCCTAAAAATATGCCACAAATTCCTTCGTCATTGCACTTTTTTAATTTCATATGGGACGAATTTTTTTTTTTTATAAAAAAACATCAAAAAATTATAACACAAGCGGCTTCGAAACGTATTCTCTTCCATGGATAAACAGTGGCAATAATTAAAAAAACATACATAGACTCAGACAGAAACAAAGACATAAACTCAAAAGAAACAAAGAGTAAAGAGGTACTAGGGTGAAGCTTCCCTATTAGATGAAAATTTTCAAGTTGCTTACTATTTTTACTTAATCTCGATGAGAACTTACAGCTTCTGCACGCATAGAGAATTCTTAAAAAACGAAAAATATATGCTGTTAATAGGCCTGAGATTGGTCGTTGAAATCCTCAAACACTTATGGTACAAAAGTGTATTAAGTTTGTGCAGATGTATGCAATACCCAAAAGGACTTGAGATTGACCCATCGTTTATTA